TGTATGTATGTATGTATGTATGTATGTATGTATGTATGTATGTATGTATGTATGTATGTATGTATGTATGTATGTATGTATGTATGTATGTATGTATGTATGTATGTATGTATGTATGTATGTATGTATGTATGTATGTATGTATGTATGTATGTATGTATGTATGTATGTATGTATGTATGTATGTATGTATGTATGTATGTATGTATGTATGTATGTATGTATGTATGTATGTATGTATGTATGTATGTATGTATGTATGTATGTATGTATGTATGTATGTATGTATGTATGTATGTATGTATGTATGTATGTATGTATGTATGTATGTATGTATGTTTCGTGATTTCGAGATTCACGCATGACTGAACGTCGGTGATATGCTTATTTTTCATTGTTCAGCTTCACAATCATTCATTCTTTTGATCGCAATTGACTTTAAAAGGAGTTTGAAGCAAAAATGGGCGAGTGTGGTATGAGATAGTGACAACGTTTGGGGAGAGAAAGAAAGAGAGAAAGAAAGAGAAGAAGAAGATTTTTAGTATGATAGTTAAATTCACCCAGTCAAGCAATTCATTAGATTATTTTTGTGAAGCACAATTTTCGTGGTCTCCAACCGTGTTCCTCAATGAGTTTTGCTGTCAGTTGGTCTTGAGACATAACTTTCGACTTTGAAAATAATTGTAACTAGATAACAAAACCTAAATAAGCAGGTAAGAAGGTGAAGAATCTCAGAGCTAAGAATTGTGTTAGAAATGTTTTCAAATAATACGAGAAGTTTTTTGTCTTTGTTGCAACTTCCTGACCATGGTCAGGACATATCGAATAGTTGGAAAGTGAATTCGAAATACGAATATTATTATTATTATTATTATTATTATTATTATTATTATTATACGGGTTACTCAGGTTTTGGGGATTATCACGAAGACAGTGATGGTGATTGCGATGGATGGATGGATGGATGGTGGAGTGATTTGATGGATAAAGTGATCATTCATGAAGACACATACATATTGTCTAGGAATTTTTTTAAATCTACATTTATTTAATAAAATCAATAATGTTGTCTTTCTTTCATTCTCTCTTTCTTTCTCTCTCTCTCTCTCTTTCTATCTTTCTCTTTCTCTATATATATATTTATCTATATATATTTATATGTGTGTGTGTGTGTGTGTGTTACATAAATTTTTCTTATACAAAGAAACTAAATTTATTAAAATACGAGAAAAAGATGTTATATACTCTATGCTAACAATAACACGTGGTGGTCGATACTGCACAGGGACGAATAGGTAATTTTTAGTTTTTATTATTATTAAACAAATAATAATAACAAATAAATATTAATATCAAATAAATAGGAAAAAATTTGTTTTAAAAAGTTTTTATTAATAATTTATTTTGAAAAAATATTTGATGAAACATCCTTATTATACGTACTAAGTACTGAGACTAAACTTCCAAGTACAAATGATTACTATTCAGTTCTAATCAAATCACTAATCATCGCACAGATCGCACAGAATTAGGGAAGGCAAGAAAGCAATGTCGTCAAAATCAAATTCCAATGCTAATCCCAATCAGGAAATATCCCAGTTGATCAGGAATTTGTCCTACATTAATCAGCAATCTCCTGACGATGATGTTGGTTGTTGGTGTTATATTTTAGTAGTTTTTAATTTTATCATATGGTTTACTTTTTTTTAATAAAATCTATTTTTAATTTAATTTTAAAAAGNCTGATTGAAAAGTTAAAATCAGTGAAATGTGGTCTCAAAAACTTTGCTCCTAACTTGGGATCCCACAAGGTATAAACTTTTATAAATTTATAAATTTATATCATTATGAGAAACCATATCAT